GTGGACTCGAACATTCACCTTACTCAGATGAAGTTCTACTCCCTCCTCGCGGCGACCTCTTTGTTCGCTGCTATGGCTTTTGGGCAGGGCGTCAGCATCGGCGCTCCCACAGCCGGGTCCACCATCTCCCCCGGAACCAACATCACCGTCGAAGTCGACCGCCCTGTACGTCGCATCCATCTTTTCCTCTCCTACAAGCTAACCTCACCTAGGACACACTCACTGGGTCGACCGAAGTTGCAATCATCATCGGTTTCACGTCCTGCGTCGGCTTCACTGAGAGTCAATGCCCTCCCCCCGCCAGCCTCATCGGATCAGTGCTGTACAACGGCCCTTACGATCCTGAGTTCCACACCGATGTGACTCCGACGAAACTTGCTCCGTACCAGAATTTTTCTGTCATGATTCCTACGACGACGAGCAAAGGTCCCGCGCAGCTCAGCGTGACGCATTTTAGTTTGGTTGGCGTGAGTGACAGACATTTTCCCCCATAGTCCGAGTTGGTGATGGATTTGATTGCAGGCTGGACCGTTCCCTCTGCTGCAAAGCCTCAACGTCTCCCTTATCGTACAATAGTTGGAGGATGTTAGGGTGTTGATTCAAGGCAGTGTATATTACTTACATACCTGCAACTGATGGGCAATGGTTTACCTCAGCCAAGTCCGACTCGAAGAGAATTTGGTGTAGTAGCACCCCGGCGTCGACATCTGGTTCTTGCACCGAGTTCCCGCCTCTTCTTCTTTCCACGTCTCTTTTCTTCAGGGACTTGCCGAACCACGTCTCAGAAGACGATATAAGAGCTATATTCAACGCACCAATGGCAATTTCATAGGCAAACGAGCTGCAACAATCTTCTCTTTAAATTCAGTGGCGCCGGCAACAGTCCTAGCACTCCTGCATCCACGAACTACACGACGCCTTCCAGGTGAGAAACCTGGTTGGCAACTCCGTGGGATGTACGACGCCGAGGTCAGGCGCCGTATGGCAGCACAGGCAGTAAAGCCTGAAATGCAACAGAGGTCGTGGTGGATGTAGGTGAAGACGATAGTGATCATGAAGTCGAAGCAGCTGAAGAGCGGGAGTTTGAGGAGGAGAGGTGAGTTTGCGAAGAAGAAGCGAACCGGGCTGCTGAACTTGTGCTGAAGATGCGGGTGCAGAAACGGGAGAACGATCTAAAGCGGGCGAAAGCTAGGGAGCAACTGCGACGGGGAACAGAAGAGAAGCTCGGTGGCAACGGTTGAAGCAGGAGCGCAAAAACCGTAGGCGCAAGCGATTCAGCGGCCGAGCGATGCGTATTTATTCTGAGAGATACGTTGATGTCGGGGAAGATCGGGCTTATGGTCGAGGAGGGCGCGACACTGGTGTAAGGGTGTAAGGCTCCGGCCAAGAGGAATTTTCGGCCATCAGGCCGATTCGGATTGGTATCACTCCCATTCGCAGCACTCACCAGCTTTGCACCAGCTGCCAGCACGAGTCATCTCGAGTCCTCGGCACTTTGTAATTCGTCTCTACGCTGCTGCGGCAATCCAATGCGTCGCCAAGACACGACACGACAGCCAGGAGTCATTTGACAAGTCTTGTGGCACTGCTGTCCACTCCTGACAACAACGACGATGAACGACCCTAAGATCCTCGACAGAGCCCGCGGCGCGCTCTTTGGCTCGGCCCTAGGAGATGCCATTGGCATCTACACTGGTCAGTCCTGCCTTTGTCGTAATTTCAATCTCATCCAGCCATGCAGAATTCATGACCGCTGCACAAGCTGCGGAGGCGTACGGAGCAAGCCCACATTTCACGTTGCTGTCGCCAGAGACCAAGTTTCACAATGATACGCACCGATGTCGATTTGAAAATGTGAGTGCAAACCGAGAGTGCGTTAGGCGTTGCTCAACGCAAGAATAGCGCGCATGGACAGACGATACAGACCACACGCTGCTAATGATGCTCTCCTACTTGCGGATGAGGGAGCTGTCTCCCAACGACCTTGCCATTCGTCTCAATCGTTGGGTAACCCAGGGGCTTCGAGTCTTGGATCGTCTACCCATGGGCCTTGGCAGTGTGTACCCCGTCTTTCTTGACCCTTTCCCCGCTGATCGACCGTACAGGAACGGTCGGCAGTGTCGTCCTTTCCCCCACATACACTTCTGACCCCTCCAGCATCGCGCTACACTACTGGGAGAAAGGCGGACGTGCTGCAGCACCCAACGGCTCCCTCATGCGCACGGCCCCTGTCGGTGTCATCTGCATCCCAACAACTGAAGAAGCCACCTTCGACGCCGCCATCCGCATGGGGGCGGTCACACATGCTGACCCACGGTGTGCCCTGTCTGTCGCAGTCGTCTCTGCTCTTGTCCGGGCTTTATCTCTCGGCGAAATCACCAGTGCAGAGCAGGTTGGCACCCTCATCGAGCGCACCTGGGCTTACCTACAGCGACCTGGTGTCCTTGCCCCAGACCACGCCTCGCTCCTGGACCGTGCCGAATTCGAGCGGCACGCATATGCAGAGACCCTCGACGCGCTGGTGCTATGTGACCGCGAGATGGGTTACGTGTACAAGTGTCTTGGGGCGGGCCTCTGGTGCCTGCGTCGTGTCCTCGCACATCAAGATACTTTCCGTTCCGCCATGACGACGCTCGTCATGTACGGTGGGGATGCAGACACGAACGGGGCTGTGGCTGGTGCACTCATGGGTGCACTCGTTGGGTACGAAAAGGGGCTACCGGTTGAGTGGCGGGATGGAATGCGGCATAGGGACTGGTATGCAGCGAAAGTCGACGCCCTGTGCTGCGTCGCGGGGCTTTGTGAAGGCGTGTACGACTCTGAGAACGACCAGGATACGACGCTCGATGGTGGGCGGGGCTCTTTGTCGGAGGAGGATATGAAGAAGCGGGAAATGCAGATTATGGAGAAGATGTTGTTGGCGGAGAAGGAGCGCCGCGATCGTCATGCGGCTGCCCAAGCCCGGCCTTCTTCGATCTGGGGTAGTCTGCGGAGCGTTCTCAGTTCTCGCTAAGTAGTATATTTTAACTGTTTGTGAACTCTCTGGACCTTTTTTCTGACTTTCTTCTGTCGTCATGCGCGATCCGCCTTCTTTTTCCCAGCTCCCAGTGATCTACATGATGCAACAACTTCTCCACTCTTCTTTGTTTCCTCGGCGGATCTTGGCTCGTTGCTCTTGTGCAATTTTGAACAACCAATGGGTGGGTTCCATATGAACGAATCGGGTCATCGTTTGGCCGTCGCACCGGGTGTGAGGGAAACAGCTTTACTATTGATAGCACAGAAACCGGGCAGCTGATGTTTCTGCTTCTTGACCAGAGCTACAACCCACAGGATGGACACGTACCACTCGACGAGCATTGGGACCCCCCAAATGAAGTGGGCCACCCAAGGTGAATCACCTCGTCTCATCTCAATCCCGACTGACTCGTGAAGTAGTGGCTTGTTCGACCGCGCAATCAGCGAGCGCACTCACACCAGGCGATTTGCGTGCCCTTGTCATCAAGCTGGAAGCGCGATTGGTGGCGCAGGATGACGAGATTGGCGTTCTTCAGAGACTGAACGGTGAACTGTGGCAGGAGATCCGTCGAGTGAGTCGCTCATACCGACCTCGTCTACCCACGTCGTTCAATTTATCCTTTTCAGCTCAAAGGCCCCCAACTCCCACTCGAGATATTTCTCTTGATCGTGGATGCAGCCTCGGAAGACAAGACAGCCCTCAAGACGTTCTCGTTGGTGTCCCCCGGGTGGTTGTCTGTCGCACGCAGACATCTCTTCGGCAAAATATCATTGAGGGGCCACGACCTGGTCGCGGCATCCATCCTCAGCAGCCCGCTCTGTACCTTGTTTCCTCACGTTCGGACCATCGACATCACCGCGCCGAGTAATTATTACGACGAAGGATTCGATTATTTCGCAATCCCAGGGCTTTCGCCGCCGAGGGTTGATACGCACCGGATAGACGAGCTGCTCGTGCATATACCGAAATTCTCCGCGTTGACGACGTTGGGCCTCTACAGTATGGAGCTCGCGGACCTAGACGCGGTGGAACGGGCTCTACCCGCGTCGATGAAACGTCGCGTTCGGCGGTTGAAGATTCACTCTCCCGAGTACATCTCGATGCGCCGGATTGCGGCGTTTGTATCCACGTTCGAGGGTCTCACGACGCTGGAGTGTGGGGAGATTTTCGAGTATTGGAGGGAGGATGTCGTGGCGGCCTTTTTCGTGGATGATTTCGCGGCGTCGATGATTTCGCCTCCGGCCACGGTTCGTAGCTTGGTGTTGCACGCGAAGGGGGAGCTAGAGTCGGCTGTACTTGAGTGGTTCACTCAGCAGCATGCGGGTGTCATCGACTCACTTGTCGTCCAGCATTCAAGTTCAATTTCGGGGTTCAAGAACTTCTTAACTCGTTTTGGGCCGACACTTTCAAACATCGAATTGTCGTTTTACGAGCCGGAGGAAGCAGGTACGCAAACATGAGTTGTCTCCTCTCCCCTCTCCTAATAACCCCAGGCTTGGACACCCTCTTCGACAAACTCCAATCCCTCAAGTCCGTCTCACTCACATTTGGACAGTTCGCATTCGACCAACTCGCTCCATCCCTCTTTTCACGACTCCCTTCAAGCATCGAGGAGATTACACTTAATTTGATGGACGTCGCTACGCATGACCAGTTGCGGTATCGAGACCGTCGAGAGGCATGGTCCAGTGTTGATTCTATGTTGGCGCAGGAGCAGGAGGAGGAGAAGAGGTTTGTGGCATTGCGCCGTGTGTCGATCTTCTGTGCCAAGGGAGGGGGAGCGATGGGCATGGATTCTGAGGAAGGTGCGAGGAGGAGGATTTTGAGGCTTTTGCCGAAGTTTGCGGTCGCGGTGGGGCAGGAGAAGGAGGTTCAACTCGTGGTTGGAATTGTTTGAAGCTATTACAGACTTCGTAGCTTGAGAACTGCAGTACCTGGGCCCCCCCTCGCATCTAGCGTTATGTGTCGGTCGGGGTTTAGTTTCGATGTGGCGTATCGGTAACATATCCGCCTCTCATTATCTGTTGCCAGAATTTGACGCGGTTGCGCGGGGTTCGATTCCCCGCATCGGAATCTATGGCATCTGTCCTTTTTGGCAGCCTCGACTCTTTGATGCGACTGTGTCCCACATTTGCGTAATTCACCTCCAAGATCCTCCCAAAACGTCGTTAGTCTCTCACCGGAGTGCCGAATAAGCTTCATCTGGCCGTCTGGCTGTCCCTCCGACTCCCTGGCATATGCAGAGCACGAGGGCCATACTTGCCATTCACTGAGCTCGGATATTGGCACTCCGAAAGCGCCCAGAGGGGGTCAAGTGTTGGCAGAGCGGGCTCCAAGTTTGGTGAAGAAGTGACCTGGAGGTGAGCCTCGTGAGAAGTGGTGGTTTTCAATTTGCTGTCCCGGAGTTTGAAATCGCCATCACATGTCAAGAGGACGCGTCCACAAACAATGCAATCCAAGTTTTATCTTTACAGTAAGTAAGTCAGGTCCATGAAATTTAAACAGCTACGATATCAGAATAATTCGGTGGCAGACTCTCCACAGAGAACCGAGATGGCGTAACAGATATTCTGGCTTCTCTCCTTCCATCGTGCGCATCAACTCTGTCCGTGGCAGCGGCACCTAACGCGGATTTGAGATAAGTCCGGCCGGAGTTTTCAACCATCTCGGGCTGAAATGTAACGAATGGTTCAACAGTCGGAGAGCTTTCCCACTGGGTGATTGCTGCGTCGACGGGACTCAGTCGCCGTTTTATACGCCTGCGAACGAGGAAGACGGCTAGGATCACTGCGAGGATGATTGCGGCTCCGATACCAGCCCCAGCGAATGCGAGCTTCTCGACGTGTTTTCTGAGATAGATATGTCAGATAGGTAGTGGTACAGAGAATGCAGGCGTACGTCGCACTTGCCGTCTCTTCAATTATCATCGTGCTCTGTGGACTTTGCGATGATTCGGCGGAGAGCGTGGCGGGCGACGGTGCACCAGGAGTCGATGAGAGCGTCGACGAGAGCGAGCTGCTCAGGTATCAGCGGAATGTACGAAGGATTTGGTATCCACGGCTGTACAGACCTTGGCGCAACAACAGTAAAGGTTGGGCCTTGGGCAAATGGTGGATCGACGTCGCTGTATTGAGAGTCGTCAAATCAGGCTGGCTTACTAGCGTCGCATATACTAACGGATTAGAACCAGCTGCGAATGCCTCGATTACGTGTGTTCTGGAGTCCATGGGAGATAAGCAAGTGATTTGGCAAGATTTCAAGGCAGTTCAGCGTACCCGAGACTCGCAGGCTTGAGAGTTAACTTTCCGCTGTTCGGTAAGGATCCTGCGGGCGCGGAGATGGACCCAATATTTCCATTAATCAATAGTTTGAAGACAAAGGCGGTCGGATCCCCCTCCTCGGTAGTCCACCCGAACGGCATCGGGGCATCGAGGACGACGTTTCCGCTCGTGTAGCTCAGCTGCATTGAAAGAGAGAGAGCAGGTCCGCCAGGGAGGAAAAGGAGCGAAGTATGCGTGGACGCACTAGAAGGACTAGACATCCATGGGACGGATATATAGCACTCTAATTGCAGACATCGAGCGATTTCATCGGGATTTTTGATGCGATCTGCCACAGAGGAAGGAAAGTCTTAACATGTCCGTGGAGCGAATTAGTAGATTCACTAAGAGCTCGCAGGATATACATATGTATACTCACTCGTTCGCCGGAAACCGAACCTACTTCTCCTGGGGCACACTGGAGGGAGTCGTCAACAGGAGCCACCAGTGACCACACTAAGAGGAAGAACTCACACGCAAGTAATGTTGGGAGTGATAAACAGATATGCAGACCTACGTTGGTCGATTTGACAACAGCCGAGGAATATCTCAGGTGCGAGGTTCAATTGACACGATAGCCTCTGTCTGCGAGCTCGAGAGACTGAGGAATATCAGCTATTCAGCACAGTGCTTGTACAAGAATAGCGGAAATCCCACGGAGATCCCGGCCCTAGGGACACAGTTACAAGCTCCAATTGCTCCAGGCGAAGAGCAATAGATAAATGTCTACTCACGAATGACCTATAGAAACGGATGATATCTGAGCTGAGACCAAGATTGTCGGCAGACTGGGCTGATGCAACAGCGTTGGTGGTCAAGGTCAAGGACCGTGAAGAGAGTTAGAGTGTGATCTTCGCGGGACGGGAGACCGTATCCAGGAGCATCATCGCGTCTGTAGCCGTTTTGACGACCGGGATTGGACCGGGATGTGTGAGACCAAGCAGTCTTCAGAAGGTCGAGAATGGAGATGATGCAAAGATGATGGTGGCTTAAGCGCTTAAGAGTTAATCATTGATGCGCTTGTGATGCGCTGTCAAGTCAATAGCGGAGTTGGAACCGCGATCACATGTCTGAAGTCACGTGAAGTGAAAGCAAGTAGCAATCGATTGAATGCGTGCAGGAATAGGCCCAACTTGCTTCGTTTCAAGTATGAATAAAATCCATAAATTGTTTTTAAACTGCAATATCAGAATAATTTGGTGGCAGACTCGGACCATCAGAGACCACGCCCGCGGATGGCGTAGCTGTTCTGGCTTCTCGAAGTCCTTCATTCGCGTCAACTCTCTCAGATGTGACACCTAACGCGGCCTTGAGATAAGTCCGGCCTGAATTTTCGCCCATCTCCCGAAAAGTAACGAATGGTTCGACAGTTGAATTCCGAGGTTGTGGCCGCTGAGTGAGCTTCGCGGCTCTCAACCGTCGTCTCGTACGCCTGCGGACAATTAGAATACCACATACCACTGCGAGGACGATTGCGGCCCCAACGCCAGCAACAGCAAATGTGACCTTGTCGATGTGCTTCGATGACCCACCTGGGGCGGTGGTTCTAATATAATAATTTCATCAGAAGATAGTGCCACAGGGAAGGCCTGCATATGTTGCATTGGTAAGGGTGGTACTGGAGGCCGGTACTGCTGTCTCTTCGATTATTATGGTGCTTGTACCAGTGCTGAATACTTCGTAGGCGATTGTGACCGAACCAGAGTGTGTCAACAACGTTGAGACTGGACTACTCAGCAATCAGCAAAGGCTATATATGAAAAGGTATCAACTTTTTTACTGACGCTGGCTCAACGACAGTGAAAGTTGGGCCTGAGGCAAAGGCAAACGGTTCCCTGATGAACGTAAGACCTTCAATGTGGTTTCAAGTTGCATGTACTAACGGATCGGAACCACTGGCAACTTCGAATGCTGCGATTACATGTGGACTGGGATATTACATTCCAAATGAGCAAGCTATAACTTTCTACAATTGGTTTCACGCACCCCAGTAGACCCTGAGTTGAAGTAAAAGTTTCACTCGTTGACAAATCTCCTGACGGTCCGACTGGGGATAATTGCCCGTCTACCAACACTTGGAAGAAAAACAAAGCCGGATCCCCCTCCTCGACGGTGTAGGTCACCTCAACCGGGGAATCGACAACGACGGGACCGCCCGTGTAGCTCAGGTTCATTGAAAGAGAGACAAAAGTCCGCCAGGGAGGGGAGGGCAAGGGAAGAAGTAGACGCGATAGATGGGTGAGAGGAGTGCTGCAACCATCCGTGGGACGGATATAAAGCTTTCTAATAACAGACATCTAGGGAACGGATCAGAATTTCCAAGATGCACGAATGCGGAGGATGGACACTCTTACCACGTTGGGTCACACTGAAGTGGTTATCAACGTTTCAACACGGATTTCCAGTGCGGATAGGAAACAGCAAGCCCCCTGAGAGATGGTTTCATCGGCGACAGCCGAGGACAGCCATTCACCAGTGCTGCGTAGAGGAACAGTAGACCTCCGGGGGAGCGCCAGCGGGAAGCCGGGCGCAGGGATATGGATATGTGAAAGCTCCAATTGCTTGAGGTGGTATTCGACTCGGCTGAACGCGTCAGCTATCACTCTATCAGTCCAAATCGCTGCATTGTAAGGTACCCGGTCTATAAAATCTACACGGCTACTGTATCTGAATAATTCGGTGGCAGACTGCCTCCAGAACCCACGGATGGGGTTGCTGATAGGTATACTGCTTTCTCCAACTCCGTCGTTGGCAGCCTTGAGATCAGACGATGGGAGTCGGCGAGTTTGGCCGCTCCGTGAACGATCCGTCGAGCATTGCCGTTCTCAACTGTCGTTTCGTACGCCTGCGAACGAGTAGAATGACAAAGAGCACTGCGAGGACGATAGCTGCTCCTATGCCGGCTCCAGCGAATGCGGCCTTGTCGACCTGTTTCGGTGCCTTTCTGGAACCACACGAGGATGGATTTATCAGAGGACAATGACGCACAAAGGTCATACGTACGTCGCATTTTCGCTGGCACTGGCCATGGGAGATGGCGCTGAGGTCCCCTCCTCAACTATTATGGTGCTCGAGCCATTAGTGTATAGGCCGTAGAGAGTTGTGACCGAGCCAGGTTGGGAGAACGACGTTGAGACGACGCCAGCTGGTGGCGTCGTAGAAGTCGTGGTTTGGGTAGGCGGAGACGGAGACGGAGACGGAGACAGACTCGGACTCGGGGCCGAACTTTGGTGCAATCAGCGTGGCTTATGAAGAAGTATCAGTGGTTGTACAGACCTTGGCTTATGTAACGGCGGTAAAAGTTGGGCCTGTGGCAAATGGTACATCTGCGACGACCTCGTGGCTGCTTCATGATCGTCAAATCACTTTGGCTGCGAGTTGGACTCAGATGTACTAACCCATCAAAACTAGTTGCAAATGCTTCGATTACATGTGTACTGGAATTTTCCCCAATGAGCCAATTATGAAGGATTCAAATTGGCTTGACGCACCCAGCTACTCCAGGTGCAACAGTGAACGCTCCGCTGTTCGAGACCGGCCCCGGAAGCCCGTCTTGTTTAAGAATGCCGTTTTGCAATGCTTGGAAAATGAAGAAGGGCGGATCCCCGTCCTCGGCGGTGTAAGTAATCACCAACGGCTTGCCTAGTGGCACTTCCCCGCTAGCGTAGGTCAGCTTCATCGAAAGATAGAGACAGGTCCACAAGGGATGGGAGGCAGGGAACGAAGTAGAGGCGAGAGATGAATGAGAAATTT